TGTCCTATTCTAACAAAGCTTATTTATTCAGCTTTCAGATGACGTATAAATCTCTATTTAAAAAATTTGACCCTTATGACTGGTTTTGTGGTCCAGGGTCACATACAGTGTACAGCACACAGGAAAAAAAATATTTTTTAATGATTGTATACCCTTTTCTATATTTCATAAATAAATTCACAAAATGTATTAAAACATTCAAAGTTCTTTATTTGATGCCAGAAATACAAAAAGTGTTTTTTTTTATTGTAAAATTGCTTCATTTTTGCATTTTATGTAACAGCTAAAAAAGAAGACGTTAATAAATAAATTTATAAATAAGGATATAATCTTTAGATATTAGCATGCAAAATCGTAATGTATAAATTATATATTAAATTACACAAAATAAAATAATATAAATAAATAATAATTTATAAAAATGTAGTATCTTTAATATAAATAACATCTAAAAAACAACAACATAAGGAATCAAAACAACAATAAATAAACACTGCATACAGCTGTATAAAATACCATTATAAAAAAAGAGTGTAAACACTGATTAACAACACTGATTCTTTTTCTTTTCCTTCTGTAAATGGAGTGAAGCTTCAAGAGGTCCAGTTATTAAACATGAGTGTGGAAGGAGAAGAACTCCAGCTGGTTCATGAAACTTATGAGCCGTTTTCTGACGATGTCCCAGCTGTGCTCTCTATCCTCCTGAAAGAGTAAAACAACAGTTAGTCCATCTTCAGACGAGCTTCCACATTTACAGCGGAGGATTAAGCTATATATTCAAATCTCACCGTCTTCACTTCTGTCATGTGTCTCAGTCTTTCAAAATACAGATGCAGCTTTTTGTTCCTCTTCATTTTGTAAGCCCCCTGCATTGAGAAAGAAATCAATCAGTTCCTCTGGCTTGATGTAGCTGGTATTAAATATATGTATACACACACTGTACTCACACACGAGCGCAGTCCATCAATCTCCTCGTGCATGACATTTAAGAAATCTGCCAGTTTTTTAGCATCCCAGGGGACGACGGCATCGTCAAAGAGGACCGTGATCTCCATCAGAGCCTGAACGACGAACAGGATCTGTTTCTCAGGCTGAGAAGAAGAAACAAAAGATATAGATTCATAATCAGCAGCACATATTATGGTGTCTTTTTTTAAATAATAATATTTTTTACTAACCTCTGCTCTTCTGTGGTTATTGATCAGTTCATATGGGATTGGGTTCATGTCCTCGTGGCCATTATGGATTTTCTCACCCTACGATATATTAATGAAGAGATTATTTTGAGCAGAATGAACAGATTCAGGCGAAACATTTTGATGAAAGTTTAAAAGTATTCCGATTCGCTATTACAACTGCATTTGGTTAGTTTCCATTTTTAGGTTAAATGCATATTTACTGTATATTATATGAATTTTAAAGGGCGAGTGTATCAGTTATATCACTATATCTCCCATGATATGTCTTACTTAGATGATATTCATGCTCTGTAGTTTCAAAATGCAATGCAGTTACAACATTAATGTTCCTGAAAAGCCTGATGGATCATATCTGATACATTTTAAAGTCATTTTTCTAAATGAATACGATGCAAGCAATAATGAAGTTGCTCCAATCCAGTAAATATTCATCTTGAAATATTAAATACATTTTTTTTAAGCACCAATATTCTATTTATAGGCTCTCAATTAATTAGATAAAATATTAAAATAAAATTGCAATCTTCTAAGTACAAATATTCTACCTCTCTCAATTAATAATAATAAAAAATTTAAAAAAAATAAAATAAAATTTAAAAAAAATATATAACAAATAAAGAAATAAAAAAGTCAAACTCACCATCTTTCTGATCAGATCCAGAGAGACTCCGTGGTGGTGCTGGAACTTGTGTTTTATCCACCTGCAGCTGAGCACAGAGCTGAAACTGCAGGCTGACAGAAGAAGGCAGAGCTGCACCAGGCGAAGGTCCATCGTGTCGTGTTCTCCAGAAGGCTGATGCCACAGGTTGATCCACTGATGAGCTGCTGCTGTTGGAAGATCTCGTCTCTCCTCCATTCTCTCCGCCGTTTATATGCGCGCGTTCGGGAAGTACACACGACTTTTCACTTTCCAGACGCGCACACCTGAGCGACAGGTAAACCCCAGCTTCTGTGTCAGTGGGAGAATCTATATGTAGGTCATCTATATGTAGCCTACAAAAATAATAAACACAAATACATTAGAATAAACACGGACTATTGCTAATTAGTGAAAAATAATTCATTTAATTATTAACGTTGCCTTAGCTAACGTAACATATAGGCCTATACAAATAAATAAAACATGGCAGTATTTTTTGTGCAGAAGTTTTTATTTATTTTTCATCGCAATCACGTAGCCTGATCTTGCAATTAAAATGTTTGAATTACAAATGATTACTTTAATGTGTATTTTGTTCGTTCATTCATTTGAGTCATTTGTAGGGTAGGCTATTATACTCGTTTATTGGTTTCTTTAGGTTTAGGCTAATGCTTTCCAGAAGAAGAAAGTGAACCTTGACTCTTACAGAGGAACGTGGGAAAGAAAGTCCGCGCGCAATTCCTGAGAAAGTGAAATCGAAAGCGAGTGACGACACATTTCATATTTCATATTTCATATTATCCACTGAATGATCATTACGCCTATTATATTAAGATTCTTACAAAAATGTCACTGAAATGAGTATTACCGTGGGCTAAATCAATTATTAAAAAAAACAAAAAAAAATGGAAACGATGGAGGAAGATGCTCCTTTACTTCATCAGCCACTGCGGCATTAGAAGACACACACATCTGCTCATTCAGCTGTTATAGCACAAATGTCAAATATTTTAAAGAGAGGTATAGCCTAAATGTCTCCCACCCCGGACAAACTTTAATAGAATGGCTTTGGCATAATTTTAATTATGTAGGCTAGGCTATGGGTCATTATGGGTCATTAATGTCAAATACTATTTAAAATGTTATTTTGACAATTTGCTCGAAAAAAAAGGAATGACCAATGACAGACAAAACAGATTAATCTGAAATGTAAAATAATTATATGACTTAGCCTATAATATTTCATTGCCTATGTTTGAATTGTCATAATAGAAAGGCTATGAATGAAAATGTAAAGATTCGGTCTGTAGGTCTAATGAAAGCAGTCTGAAAGGTAGCCTACTTCATGGAAATATTCAATAATAAGCCCATTAATTACAATAAGTAGGCTATTCAATTCAAAATAATAACACTAAAAACATTGTGCCATTTGGACCAGTCTGATTTGATCTTTTTACTTCAGAATAAAAAACTAATCTAAAACCATTAATAATCCTAAACAAAAACAATAAACAATAAAAATGAATATTCAACATACATCATACTAATTTCCAGAGAAATAATATAAGATCAAATCTCAAAACGATTTCGACTTACTAAATTTGACAAATGTAATCAAAATTCTAACCTATTTTCCTTCCCGGGAATGCATAATGATATGACGTAGCCTATGCCTTGAGTCGAAAACACACGACAGATAATCTAACTATTACTAATAATAAAGTAAAAGATATACTGTATATATATATAATATCACATTTGGTTAAATTATCAATAAGTGATAGATAGATAGATAGATAGATAGATAGATAGATAGATAGATAGATGGATGGATGGATGGATGGATGGATAGATAGATGATTGATGGATAGATGGATAGATGGATAGATAGATGGATGGATAGATGGATGGATGGATGGATGGATGGATAGCTGGATAGATGGATAGATGGATAGATAGATAGATAGATATTATCAGTTATTTTAATTTATTTAGCTGTTTTGAAACAGCTGTTCTGTGGATGCTGTGTGAAATATAAACATCACAAAGTAAAAAAAAACACATTTTATGCTTGGTTATTATTATTATTATTATTTTGCCACTTTTATGCTTATCTGTATTTCAATTTCAATTATTATTATTTTTTTAATTCACTTTACTTTTCTATTTGATTTAAGCTATGCTGTTTGTTTGTTGCAACAGTGTGGAGTTGTATTCATTTCCATCAGACATAACCCCAACACGAAGAAAACAACAGTGGACTTTCGCCGTGTGTTTGCTGTCGATCCAGTTTTGTTCCCGTATGGGATGATATTAGACTCAAAATGATTAATAGACGCACGCACAATTATTCCTTTTTTTTGGAATGTGGGTTAAGTACAAAGCCTGGTTTACATAGGCCTAATAAATAATAGTCTGTAGCATTCAAATTCAAATAGGCAACATTGTGAATATGGAACCATTTGGATTCTGAGATTTGGAAATGAGAGAGTAAGAAAATAAATATCTCCAGAATAAAGTCCTTAGCCTATAATGCGAGATTAAACTCATTAAATATCCAGAAAAATGTAGAAATAAAATATCAAAGAGTAAAAATAATTAAATTTGGAGAATAAAGTCGTTCACCAGCATCATCAACTTCATCTTTGCAGACACTGACTCAGAAAACAGTTTAGTAATAAGTAGCCTAAATAAAATATGTTCTATCTTATG